CCTCCCCTCCAAGCATGGAGCAATGGGCGGGATCAGAGCAGGTCTGCCCCTATGAACCTTGGACACCATAGCATACATAAAACATATATGATAAAAAACATGATATTAAACCATATATAATAGAATAGAATCTGCTCCTTTGTGCAAGGAGAAACAGGATGAGCACTGCCAGAGCCCTACAAAATGACCTCCAGCAGGCCACTGGTGTGAATGTCTCTGACCAAACAATCAGAAACAGACTTCATTTGGGTGGCCTGAGGGTCCAACATCCTCTAGTGGGCCCTATGCTGACCACCCTACACCATAGAGCTCAATTGGCATTTACCATTGAACACCAGAATTGGCAGGTCCACCACTGGCGCCCTGTGCTTTTCACAGATGAGAGCAGGTTCACATGTGACAGACGTGAAAGGGTCTGGAGAAGCCATGGAGAACATTATGCTATCTGTAACATCGTGATGGTGAGTCAGTGATGGTCTGGGGAGGCATATTCATGGAGGGATGCACAGACCTCTACAGGCTAAACAATGGCACTTCTGTTAGGTATCGGGATGAAATCCTTGGACCCACTGTCAGAGCCTACACTGGTGCAGGTGGCCCTGGGTTCCTCCTGGTGCACATCAATGTCCAGCCTCATGTGGTGAGAGTATGCAGGCAGTTCCTGAAGGATGAAGGAATTGATACCAATGAATGGCCCCTACACTCACCTGACTTAAATCCAATAGAACACCTCTGGGATATCATGTTTTGGTCCATCCAACGCTGCCAGGTTGCACCTCAGACTGTCCAGGAGCTCAGTGATGCCCTGGTCCACATCTGGGAGGAAATACCCTAGGAGACCATCTGTTGTCTCATTAGGAGCATGCTCCGACGTTGTCAGGCATGCATACAAGCATGCGGAAGCCATACAAACTACTTAGTACCATTTTGAGTTGCTGCAATAAAATTTCAGCAAAATGGACTAGACTGCTGCATCATTTTTTCACTTTGATTTTGATTTTTTTTTTTCAGTCCTCTGTAGGTTGATAATTTTCATTTCCATCAAACGATGGGGCATCCTTACGTTCCTAACACATTACCCATTCCATATCTGTATACATATCCAGCATAATATTTTTCCTAATTGAGAACTTTTGTGTTTTCAAAGTGTTCCTTTGGTTTTTTTTTAGCAATGTATAAGTAAAGTACACCAATTTTTTTTCTTATAGTGTATGCATGATAGCTAGGAGGAGAGGGAAAGGAACATTTTTAGGAATAGTTAGAGTTAGTCTTATCTTTTCAATTTAACCACTTTACGCCTGCTCACAGTACATTTACTGCAGGTGGGCAGCACTGGCAGGCTGGAGCATGTACATGTAGGTCATTCAGTCTGTTCCGGGTTAGGGGCGCACAGCTTCCGTGACCACCTGAGTCCACTGGACACAGAGGATTGTGGCTCCTGGTACCCAGCCACTTTGATTGCTATACAATGTCATTCATAACAGCTGTGCTTCCTATAGAATGATGCTGTGATTGGCCCACAGCTATCGCATGGAACCTAGGCAAATCACAGCACCCTGTACTATGTGATTATCTGTAGCCAATCACAGATCACTAGTAATCACAGCTGTTATGGATGTAACCCATTGCTGTTACAGTGATCATAATTGTAACAGCAAAGTGTTAAAAATCAATTTTTAAATTAATATCCCATAGTTTACAGACACTATAACTTTCACACAAACCAAAGACATGTAGCAAAATACATTTGAGCCTACATTTATAAAGAAATTTGATTTTTTTAGTTTTTATAGGATGTTTTATAACTGAATGTATAAAAATATTTTTTTTCAACATTTTTGGTCTTTTTTTCAGTTATATAATAAAAATTCAAAAAGTCAGTGGTGATCAAATACCGCCAAAATAAAGCTCCATATGTATGAAAAAAATTATATAAATTTAATTTGCTTATAGTGTTGCATGACTGCACAAATGCCAGTTAAATTAGCACAATGCTGAATAGCAAAAAATGGCCTTGCCATCAAGGGGGTAAAACCTTCCGGAGGTTAAGTGGTTAAAGTGACACTAAACTTTGGTTTGAAAAAAATCTATCCAAGAAAGTATTTTATCCAGGCAAATAAAAAATTACCCCTTGCCGTTGGGCTGTGCTCACACTGCAAGGGTTAGTTGCTTACTTATGTCTATTGGAACAATAAAGGAAGATTTACCTACCTGATCCAATCTTCCCTACAGCTAGACCAATCTCTACAGTATCTGCACCCCCACGTTCCACCGGTCTAGATTCCTAACGTCATCAAGGCCAGAGAAGGGTCCATAGCCATGCACTAGAAATGAGGACATTGAGGGACAGTCCACTGTCAGATCGTGGGGGAGCACCATCTACCAGAGGATCAGGTAAGTAAAACTGTTTCTCCTCTCTCCTAGACAAAATGAGCTATTAACCTTTGCAGTTGCAGCCCCACTACAAAAGAATCATTTTATATTTGCCCAGAGTTGTATTTTAACTCAAAAACATTTTTGCTGCTTTGATCTGACTTTGTGTTAAAGGGTGGTTACAATCGCTCTCTATGGTCCCACTGTATGTAGGAATGTAGCCACCCTCTTTTACTTGCACCCAAGATGGACTAGGGACTATGGATTTGAAGATTTGTAGTGGGCAGAGAGTTGTGTACATGACTGCAACTAATGCACACTGCTTGTTCCAAAGAAACAGAAGTCAGGGGGAAAAGGAGAGTCTCAGGAGCTCACAGAGGCTGTTACAAGGAGGCAAAGAAACAATTTAATGAAAACTAGATTATAGGGCCACCAAATAGTGGAGGTATATGAATTATTTTTGGAGAATAAAGATATTGTTTATGGCCATCTCTAAAAGGCGTACTGAAGATATAAAGGGGTAAACCCCCTCCCCCTGGCAAATAGGAAGAGATGATGACATTAATTTAACCCCTATCCTTTCTGATGGGGGCAATGAGCAAACATTTCCCTTTAAGCCCCATAATACACCCAATTTCCTGGAACAAACAGATTAATTAAACTCTGATGATCAGCTAACCATGAAAGAAATCCAGGCGTGAATACTTCTGACAATATAGTAACTGACAGGGAGAAGGAAGGTCAATTGTTGTAAGTCTTTCGCTGGGCTTGGACACAATCCTGCATTCCTGAACTGATAGGCAGTGACAGGGTACACCGTGGATGTTATTTCTCACCAGATTCTTGACTTGTCAACATAATTATTTTAATTCAACTACTTCCCACCAGTGGACATCTTACAGATAATTCACACTGCTTACAATGTTGCAAAAAGTAAATCAATACTAAACAGTTCCAGTAAAACACCAGTATTTCTATGGACTTAAAAAATACTCCTCATAATCCTATTAAATAAGTTGTGCTAAATACAGTAAATGACTAGGCATGCAGAGCTCAAGCCAAACAAATATGTAAGGCATGCCGGTTGGTGATAAAAAAAATGATTCTGGTAATATGTACAGAATAGAAAAGCTTTATAGACCGTTAACAATAAAACAAACAAACATGTTTTTATTTACTAAACAGATTGGAAAACATTATACAGAGTAGAAATACAGAGTTGTGACAGTATTACAATATCAATTTCAATGTACAAAAGTGCCCTCTACTGGACAGTAAAGAGAACACAGCATAATAACAAATGCTGTAGAAATTTCCTAGGATATTGAACACAATATAAGAAACATAAACCACATACACCAAGAATAAAAAATTGATGTATGGTAACCCAAAATGTCTTTATTAGATAATCAGGGGAATCCATAAAGAGTGTCAATAGATAGATAATACTTGTATAGTGCACACAATTGGCAGTAACACTCCTCTACAATGCAGCTCAGTAGCATTGTATTTTATGTTTTATAGCCAGCCTGTTTTTATCCATTACAAATCCAGTCCCTGTCATGTCATGTATGTCCATAAGAGTATGCTTATGCTCTGCTTAAATGACAACACACCCCAACAAAAACCTTTTTTCTTTGTAACATGGTTTTTAGACCTGTTCTTGGGATGCTGATTCAAAAAAATTTAATTGGCTAGACTGCATTTGCTCTAGTTTCTTAGTTATGATTGAATTTATAAAATTTTTAGTCAGTTTTTCAAAAGATCTTGCCGATCAACTTGTTTTTTTTCTGTTACCTAGTTTGTGTTTTTGCATACAAGTTAGCAGATATAGTGGGAGCGTTTGCATACTTCCAGCTGTAATTTTACATCAGAAGCATTGGATTCTAAAGTATTATTAACTGTATTCTAGTTATGATCGTATAAGAGGTGTGTGCCACCCATATGGTTTCATTTCTGCAGATCGAGCACTGTAGAGGTTATAGCTACTTTTGTATGTGTTTCTTTCATACCACATGGAGATTAAATCAAATATTACATTAGCCACCTCCCGCCCGCCATATAAGGAAATCATGGGAGGTCGGCGGTTCTCTTGTTCTGGGACGACATCATATGACATCCTCCCACTCTAACCGCGCGTGCCCCCGGGGGTGTGCAGCGCGGCCATCAGTGGTGCGCTGTGTCCCTGGGACACAGCAGATTACCAATCAGTGGAAAGAGCTGATGACTTTGGCTCTGTCATGTGATCAGCTGTATCCAATCACAGCTGATCGCATGTAAATAAGGAAATGCCGGTTATCGGCATTCCTCTCCTCACGAGCTGTCATGTTGACAGCTCGTGAGGAGAGGAGAGCCAGTAATTGGAATTCTTCAGAGGGGACATCTACACTGATCATCAGGGCACTGATGATCAGTGTAGCCCAGGGGCGGACTGACCATTTGGAAACTCAGGCACTGCCCGAAGGGCCGGGGTCAGTAGGGGGCCCCATGAGATGCCCCTGGTACCTTTTTCATAGGCTTTTTTGAGTTTGGGCAAGGAAAAAGGGGCCCCATGATCCCCTATTGCCCAGGGGCCCCGTGAGTTGTCAGTCCACCCCTGGTGTAGCCCCATCAGTGCCACCTGGCAGTGTCAATCAATGCCACCTGTCAGTGCCCATCAATGCCACATATCAGTCACTACCAGTGCACATGAATGCCACATATCAGTGCCCATCTGAACTGCCTTTTAGTGCCACCTATCAGTACCAGTCAGTGCCACCTATCAGTGCCAGTCAGTGCTGCCTATGAGTGTGCCAATCAGTGCCACCTATCCGTGCCAGTCAGTTCTGCCTATCAGTGCCCATTAGTGCCACCTATCAGTGCTGCGTATCAGTGCCATATATGAGTACTGCCTTTCAGTGCCTGTCAATGCCTATCAGTGCCACCTACCAGTGCCTCCTCATTAGTGCCCATCAGTGCCACCTGTCAGTGCCCATCAGTGCAGCCTCATTAGTGCACATCAATGAAGGAGAAAAATTACTCATTTACAAAATTTTAGAACAGAAACTAAGAAAAAACTTTTTTTAAAAACAATTTTCAGTTGTTTTTGGTTTGTTTAGCAAAAAATAAAAAACCCAGAGGTGATTAAATACCACCAAAATAAAGCTCTATCTGTCTCAAAAAAAGCTACACTCAGTGAAGAGTGCTGGGAGCTGACTGGAGGAGCACACTTACCTTCACACCTTTTTCTACATAGCAATGGTTTAACCACTTGTCCTTCTGAGGATTTACCCCCCTTCCTGACCAGGCCATTTTTTGTGTTACGACACTGTGTTACCTTAACTGCAATGCTGCACCCAAACTAAATTTACGTCCTTTTTTTCCAATGAATTGAGCTTGCTTTTGGTGATATTTGATCACCTGTTCGTTTTTTTTATTTTTTGAGCTATAAGAAAAAAAAAAAGACTGACAACTTTGAGAAAAAAAACAATATTTTTGACTTTTGCTATTAAACATGTCCAGTAAAAAAATTTTAAAAATCTAATTTCGTCTTAAATTTTGGCCAAAATATATTCTGCCACATGTCTTTGCTAAAACAAATCCCAATACGTGTAAATGAATTGGTTTATGTGAAAGTTATAATGTCTACAAATGGTGGCATATATATTGGGATTTTATTTTTTTACTAGTAATGGCGGTAATCAGCAACTTATAGCAGGACTGTGGTGGACGTTCTGACACTGGGGGGAACTGACTTGGTGTCACTGACATCCCCAGTGACACCAATACAGTGATCAGAGCATAAAAAAAGCACTGACACTGTACTAATAGCACTGGGCAGGAAGGGGTTAACATGAGGGTAGCTCAAAGGGTTAACTGTGTGCAGGGAGTGTTTTACTAGGGGGCGGTGTCTGTGTGCTTCACTGTAAGCACACTGCTTTGGATGGCTGTGCTGTCCCATCATGCCTCTGCCTTTGGGAGTCATGCTTGTAACTGTCAGTTTTGCAATGCCTCATGGAACTTGTAGTTCTACAACAGCTGGAGGGCCACAGTTGCCCACCCTGCCCTAGAGTGTAAAAAAAACCTGATAACTTTGGCACAGGTGTGTACAACCTGCTGCCAGAAGCCTGTTAAAATCTCAATCAACTGGACTTATCTTGGTGCCTGGGAAGAACAGATTGTGTGTTAGACTCCATTTACACCAATGTGTTTTAGTGCTTTTTGCAGAAACGTACTACAGTCCATTAAACATGGTTCCGGTGGAACATGTTCACATCTATGCTTTTTTGAGCTGCTGTGCTTTTGGAGAGTCAGAAATGCAGCATTTTTGCTACAATAGAGTTCAATGAAGAAGCTGTTGAAATACATAGCAGTGCGTTTTTGCCGCGTTTTGAATTTTTATTCTGTCCAGCAACAAAAAAAAAATTGCACTTTAACCTCCCTGGCGGTATGATTCCTTCCGATTTTTTGTGCTGAAAGCGGTACCATTTTTTCGCATGGAAATAGTTTTTTATTGTAGGCTGTAATTTTTAGGAAAATTTCCCCACAAATCATTATCACTCAATTCTGTAAGTGGTTCTGATTTACTATCGCTGTTCTCTAGCCGGTCTAAAACCGCTTTTGACGTAAAGGAATGCTTTTTGGACGCCATGGACTTTTCTAAGTTTCCAGGCAGAAAGAACAGACAAAATGCAGGCAGGGCACAGGACAAAGCACTAGGGACAATATGTATGTGAAATGGGATGAAACAGCAATGTTTTACTATTTAAAATTGAAAAAAAAAAAAAAATGACATTTTTTAAATTTCCCGCCGCCGGCGGCGCCCGTACGTCCGTTGTCACGGGGACCGGAACACAAGAAACCGGATCTCCTCCGGCATCGGCCGGAGGAGATGGCCGGGGACGCTGCAGGGGACACATCGTGTGAACGAAGGACAAGGTAAGTGCTGCAGGGACCCCCAGAGCAGCGCCGCATGGTAAGCCCGAGTGTAGCTCGGGGTTACCGCTTGCGGTATAGAAATTCTACCCCGAGCTACACTCGGGAAAACCTGCCAGGGAGGTTAAACAAACCACAGTAAAAACGCATCAAAAACGTGTAGAAAAAAAAACAAAACAAACTGCAAAAAACACTGGAGAAAGCATCAAACGCAAAATGCATATATGTGAATGGAGCCTAAGCCTGGGTTCACATACGTGCGACTCAGTATATCGCATGTGATTGGCACAGGAACCGCACTGCATTCCTGTGCAAATCACATGTAATTTGTTTGCGGTGTGATTGGAGACATACATTTTGGATGGCTCTATTTGCACCGCATCAAAATAGGCCTGGGCAAGAAGGGGTTATAAGCAGGGGCAGACTGACCATTTGGAAACTCTGGCACTGCCCGAGGGCCCATGGTCAGTAGGGGGCCCCATGAGATGCCCCTGGTACCTTTTACATAGGCTTTTTTTAGCTTGGCCAAGGACACAGGGGCCCCATGATCCCCTATTGCCCGGGGGCCCCATGAGTTGTCAGTCCGCCCCTGGGTATTAGTGCCCTGTAGGCTGGTGGTTAAACTAGGACTGGAACTGTCCGTCTACAGGCTCCTCTTCCGTCCTATCACACACTCCCAGCCTGGCACGCGCTGGTCACTCTTCCAACTCCCGCGAGATCCCAGGCTCCGCTTCCATACAAGGACATGTGTCAGCCGATGTCTCACAGACGTCACCCCCCCTGGAATGTGTCCCGCCCTCTGATGTGGAATGTACCACCCTCACACCTGGGGGGAGCCTAGCCCTATGTTCATACACCAGGATTGTATAGGTCACTTGTGTCCCCTGTGTACATTATACTAACTATAAACGCGTTACAGACGAGCTCCGGCGCCTCGTAGAAGAAGTATAATCCTTGGTGGAGGGGTTCGATGACCCCCCGGGGGGGAGTGGTTAGCTCCATCCGCTCCCCGTGGCGAGTAATGCGGAAGTGACTGTGTGGAGGAGTGTCTGTGAGGGGTGTTGGTCGGGGCTGTGAGGTGATTCCGTTTGTGTGGGAGAAGAGAGCAGTCAGCCGCTTGTGTGCCCCATTCTGTGTAGGGTGAGTATTACGGTAGGTGAACAAGACGTGTGCGGGGGGATGAGGCCGGCGTACGAGGAATATACATGTGTGTGAGAGGAGGGATAGGAGGGCCGGGGTGTCACTCCTGTACCTGGCCTACAGGGGCCGCGCCCAGCACACAGGGCCGGGTGTGCTCATCACCTACACAGACCTGACACGCCGGGGGGCTGGGACTTGCAGTACTACACCTGGGCCATGGCTGTGTGTGGATGGCGGGCCATCACTTTCTGTAGCATGGTGTGACCCATAGACTGTAATGTTGGATGGTCCAGAGACTGTACTGTGGGGTGATCTGCATGATACAGAGACTGTACTGTGGGGTGATCTGCATGATACAGAGACTGTACTGTGGGGTGATCTGCATGATACAGAGACTGTACTGTGGGGTGATCTGCATGATACAGAGACTGTACTGTGGGGTGATCTGCATGATACAGAGACTGTACTGTGGGGTGATCTGCATGATACAGAGACTGTACTGTGGGGTGATCTGCATGATACAGAGACTGTACTGTGGGGTGATCTGCATGATACAGAGACTGTACTGTGGGGTGATCTGCATGATACAGAGACTGTAATGTGGGGTGATCTGCATGATACATAGACTGTACTGTGGGGTGATCTGCATGATACAGAGACTGTAATGTGGGGTGATCTGCATGATACATAGACTGTAATGTGGGGTGATCCATAGACTGTAATGTGGGGTGATCTGCATGATAGAGAGACTGTACTGTGGGGTGATCTGCATGATACAGAGACTGTACTGTGGGGTGATCTGCATGATACAGAGACTGTACTGTGGGGTGATCTGCATGATACAGAGACTGTAATGTGGGGTGATCTGCATGATACATAGACTGTAATGTGGGGTGATCTGCATGATACATAGACTGTACTGTGGGGTGATCTGCATGATCCATAGACTGTAATGTGGGGTGATCCATAGACTGTAATGTGGGGTGATCTGCACGATAGAGAGACTGTACTGTGGGGTGATCTGCATGATACAGAGACTGTACTGTGGGGTGATCTGCATGATACAGAGACTGTACTGTGGGGTGATCTGCATGATACAGAGACTGTACTGTGGGGTGATCTGCATGATACAGAGACTGTAATGTGGGGTGATCTGCATGATACAGAGACTGTAATGTGGGGTGATCTGCATGATACATAGACTGTAATGTGGGGTGATCTGCATGATACAGAGACTGTAATGTGGGGTGATCTGCATGATACAGAGACTGTACTGTGGGGTGATCTGCATGATCCATAGACTGTAATGTGGGGTGATCCATAGACTGTAATGTGGGTGATCTGCATGATACATAGACTGTACTGTGGGGTGATCTGCATGATCCATAGACTGTAATGTGGGGGGTGATCCATAGACTGTAATGTGGGGTGATCTGCATGATCCATAGACTGTACTGTGGGGTGATCTGCATGATCCATAGACTGTAATGTGGGGTGATCCATAGACTGTAATGTGGGGTGATCTGCATGATACATAGACTGTACTGTGGTGTGATCTGCATGATACCGAGACTGTAATTTGGGGTGATCTGCATGATACCGAGACTGTAATGTGGGGTGATCTACATCATACAGAGATTGTAATGTTGGATGATCTACATCATACATAGACTGTAATGTTGGATGATCAATAGACTGCACTGTGGAATGATCTACATCATACATAGACTGTACTGTGGGGTGATCCATAGACTGCAATGTTGGATGATATACATAATAGACTGTACTGTTGTCTGTGGTTGGCTCAGTGATTACAGTAAAGCAGGGGTGGGCAACAGTGGCCCTCCAGCTGTTGTAGAACTACAAGTCCCATGAGGCATTGCAAAACTGACAGTTACAAGCATGACTCCCAAAGGCAGAGGCATGATGGGGCTTGTAGTTCACCAACAGCTGGAGGGCCACAGTTGCCCACCCCTGCAGTAAAGCATTGCTGGGAGAAGTCTGGGATCTGCAATCTTTAATACTGGGTACAGGTACTGCTATCAGAAAAGTCCCTGTATAATCAGAACTGCT